TGTGTCAAAGGTCAGTCTATAAAGCTCTCACTGCCGAGCTTCGCTCTGGAAGATACAGTGCTGTGAAGATCATACCTGGCACAGATCATGAAGACTAGGCATCCCATCACACTCGTGTGACACTAAAGAGAGGAGACATCCGTTCCATTCTGAGTATATGGGGAAAGATCCTAGCATACAGTGGAGCGGAGCGAGCTAAGACCCGCTTTTTGGAAAGCATTTACCAGTTGAGAATGGACATGCCCATCCCACAGCTGAGGACCAGAAACCTCCTTCTCAGCAATCCCCCGAGTGGGCCTTCACCACAGCTCAGGGTGTTCGGGTGACACCAGGCTTTGAAGGGGCTTGATCACACAGACAAAAAACCAAAACAAAACAAAACAAAAAAACCAAACACCTGTCAAAATCTGTGGGGCAAGAGAAGCTTGGAGAAATATCTTATTTCCTGTCTATTTCACACAATCCAGGAATCTATGAAATAGTATATATTTTGAAATGTTGTATATTTATTCATTTCACAAGTATTGGCCAATGGAGCACCACAATGCATTGGGTCACGTGGCTTCGGTTCTGGAGAAAGGAAGGCAAGGCCAGGTCCCCTCAGGTTATAATGACACCTGTGAAGACTAGCGGGCTTTCCCTAGTGGATCCAGTAAAGTCGTGTACAGGAAGGTTGAAGCTCTGCCGGGGAGACAGGAGCGAAATCCTTTCCATAGCAAAGGTGTCTGAGCAGGAGTCACCCTGATGTGGTTTATGGAAGTATAATACTACGGATGCTAATTTTGTGGTCAGACTTTATGTGAGTTAAGCTAGTGATGGGAGGAACATATTTGTTAAATTTTGAGAGCCCACCACTTTGTAAATTCATTCCCTTGTGTTCCTATTAAACTGTCAAGTCATAGCCTTATAAAAGTGATTTTTTTTTAAATCACCCCAGCGAAGTGATTCAGGTATCTCACACTCCTTATTCCACATTTGTGCCATATTATTTCTGCTTCTATCGCAGGAGTGAAAGAGAAACATTACATAAAAGCAAAGAGAAGAGAGAGATAGCTAGAGGAAGTGGGCAGTACAGGTGGAGGAAACTAAATCAGAATTCCTGAGTCTGTCCTGAATTCCTCCTCCCACACCCTCAGGAGTTTTTCTCTGCTAGTCTTTAACTGTGGCCACAAAATGTTTCACTGTGTCTCTATCTGCTTTAATCAATTTTTGATGCTATTGCTAAATGAACCTTATGAAGCCGATGCTTTCATAATTTTAATGGCAGTGTTATTCAGAGCCTGAGACATTTTGGTTCCAACACTCTGGGCAAGCTTATCATCTCTATTATCCATTCTTGCAGGAAACAAGAATTTGGGAATCCATACCATGATCCCCATGGCCTGGCCAAGCAACCTTAGTGATTCTTCAAGGTGCAGAGAATATCGTTAAATATTTTTTGTCTACTTCTCACATCTATAGCTTGCCAATTAATATCATTTTCTACCCCAGTCACCAATGCTTGAGGGCATTTTAAAAGAATTTTCTCCACAATTTCTAGAAATGTTCCTTATACACAGCAAACTGTTGATAGGCTCATATTAATTAAATCACTATTTGAAGAAGGAACAAATATATACTGGTATGTAAAATACATTTTCTTGAAGCAGTTGAGAAAAAAATCATTAATTTTAATACTAATTAAAATAAATTAAATTGTCACTAATGAGCTGTTGTCTGAGAAATAGTCAACATTTTACCCTTTGTATTGACTGTCTTTCTTTATCATCAACTCACAAAATCAGATAGACATCATTTTGCTCTCTTTACACATCTGTGCCTTTAGCAATAGTGAAATTTTTTTTCTGTGAGATAAAAAAGAAAGGCATAGTTACTAAAGGCAAGGTTGACCTTAGTTACCCAAATACATGCATTCCACGCAATCATCAATTTCTTTCATTGAGCTTCTCCTGTGACGTAAGCATAGACTTCAGCTTTCGTGAGGTACAAAGCATTCTATCCAGAAAGGCACTTGAAGTCTTAGAGATGACCAAGACTTATTTATGCATGAAAGTTGACAATGTACTGCAAAAAATATATATATAGCCAGTGAAGTCAATGGAAGGGGGGTGGGTGAGCCTTGACTTAAACCAGCAAAGCTGAGCAAAGGGAAGTGTAAACATTTTCAGTGTGAAATAAGGAAGCCACTCCTTTGTGTTGGATTTAGAATTTTTAATATGAGAACCATTGAAAGGTAGGTGTTCAGTTGCCTTGAAATCTCAATAAACCATGCCCAACCATACACTTATGATCAAGTGAAATAATTATTGAACTGACAACAGCATCCATTTCCTGATTGCTCTGTGCACACATGAATTTGTCATCGTTGGCCTGGGGCCAAAAGCAATGCAATTCTAGAGACTTCACTTTACTGACTTTACCTTTGGCTTTCTTAAGTGAATGCACCCAAGTTTCAATGAGCTGGATGGCAAGTAGGAGTTCTACGGAAGGATGGGGCTGCCAAGACAAACGAAGTCTTAGGTCTCAGGGACTTTTCTGGCTCGAGGAGATTGGCAGATCCGTCCCTTAATCCCAGCATTCTCTCACTTTGTCAAAGTCACCTAAAGTAGTCTCCACGGGAACAGTGTCTTTCGTCCCAGAGATTCCCCAGTGTCTACCCACAGTGCGTATGTGTGGGAGAGAAGGCTCAAATGAAGTTTGAGGGGTATATGTGAATGTCTGTTGTGGGCACAGTATGTGTATGTGTAGATATGTAGGTATATGCGTATATAGATAGAGAGAGGGGGATTTGGAGGATGTTTTATCTAAGTGTAGGTGATGGGGTTAAAGGAACGTCGGTAAGTGAGAGACTCTGCATCATGGCTACCATAGACCTAGGTTTGTTCTTCCTCTCTTTATCATTTTAAGACACTCTAATCTTCTGTTCCACTACTAAACAAGTATTCTTAAGAACTAAAGTTGCACATTTCAAGAAAATGAATAATTTTTTTAGAGACTGAATTGAAAATTATGGGAGCAGAAGAAAACGAGTTACCATTGTTCAATCAGGGGAACAACATGCCTGAGAGAAAATCTTAAAAAGCAGAAAGGTTTGCTTTGCCTCAGTTCTAGGTGCTGCAGCCCATTACTGATTACTCTCTTCCGCCTCAGCCTCTGGGAAGGGGGACTAGACGGTGGGGGCATATGGTAGAACATTGGTACCCAAATTATGGTGGGCAGGAAACTTAAAGGACCCAATCCCAACACTCCCAGGACAAGTTGCCAAGAGCTTGACTATCTCTCATTATGAACTAGTTCCACTATTTTCCAGTAACCCTGTGCTGAGAACTGGGCTGTGGCCACATGGGTGTTGGGAGGAGGAAAGGATTCCAGATCAAAACTAGAGTAGGGGCAGGGACAACTGCTGTAGAGCTTTGCTCTGTCACCAGGTAAAATAGGATGCACCTGTTGCCCAGACACAGGCATCATTTCACTAAAGCTTTACTAAGCTTTGTATGTGAAAAATAAAAAATAGTATCAAAGAAAAGAAAATTTAATGATGATTAAAAATAATTTGATGTTTGTCTTCATGAGTTGGATGTCCTTCAATTCTATAAGTTATTTTTACAGTTTTCCTGATTTTGTCTCTGGCTGTGTTACAGGAGAGAAAAAGGTAAAATATCCATGTGGATGTTTGACTATGCCTCTTCTCAAATTCTGTTAGCTACTGGCATCCAAAGTTATAAGCTGGGCAACTTGGTACTCATCATTGCCAATGTTCTTCTAGTTCCTTTCCATGTACTTAAAAAATCATTTTATTATAATACAATCACATCATTTCCCCTTCCCTTTCATCTGTAAGCTCTCCTACCTACCTACCTTGCTCTCTTTCAAATTCATGGTTCCTTTTATTTCGTCAGAAGAAAGCAGATGTGCTGTTGAAGATACACATAAAGGTTTTGTGTGTGTGTGTGTGTGTGTGTGTGTGTGTGTGTGTGTGTGTGCCTAACTATATAATAATATGGTCAGTTGATATAATGTTACTTATATTTATGTTTTCTGCTCTGACTGACCATTTAGTATTTGATAATCAATTGGCATTTTCTGCCCTGGGGCATTCCCCTTGCTTTCAGCATTCCTTTAGATTTTCATCTAGGACTTTTGATGGAAGCCTGTGAAAACCCCCATTTCAAGTTAACCTATCTATTGGTGTCTTCCTCATTAGGGTCATGATTAAACATCCATGTTGGTGAGACTTCATGAATGTAACTTTTCTGATGTTCCTAGAGTAGACACAATCTCACAACAAACTTCCTGATCCTCTGGTTCTTGCAATCTTTCTGTCCCTTCTTCCCCAGTGATCCCGAGCCATGGGTGCAGGAGTTATATTGTAGATTTATATCTTGGCGTCAGATTTAATTTTATTTACAAGTTGATTCCTTTGGCTAGTAAACCTCAAAGATATCTGAGACTTATATAAATGTCACTAGGCAAAATTAAATGCAATCTGAAGTTAAATAGTTGAGTTTGAATCCAAGATCATTTTAAATTTACTTTAAGATCATCAAGCCACTTAATATCTGGTAAAGCGAAGTTACCAGAAATTCTATGCCTAGTATTTCCAAACAAGGTTAAATTATTCAGTTAAAAAGACTCACTTGGGTCTTGGTGGGACTGACCTTGGATTTCTTATCTCCATACACCCACAACTCTGCCATTTTAAAAATCTGGATAGTATAAAATTTGAGACATGTAACAGAACTTGAATCTTAAAGTCATTGGATTTTGCTATTGTTGAAATACTTTGTTATGATATGCAGTGTGAGGTGGCACCTTGGCCGATCACATGGTGGGGACAAACAGGCAGAAATTACATGGGAAGGAAGTTGTTTGGGGGAAAGAAAGAGGGGGTAGAGAAGAGAGAAATGGAGAAAGAGAGGTGGGAGACAGAGAGAGTGAGAGAGAGAGAGAGAGAGAGAGAGAGAGAGAGAGAGAGAGAGAGATCTGTCTGTCTTTCTCCTCAGAGAAATAGTGGAAAGAGAATGGGAGTGGGCAGAACTTGTCTCTTAAAGGGACTTTTACGCCCACACACAGAGAGTCAGGGTACTGCCTGCCATGCACACAGGGGTGAAACATTTCCCAGGTCCCCAAGGGGTGGGGTCAGGTTTGCCTGGGTGATAACATTTTTTGTATGTCTTCTACATCATATAATTACCAGGAAAGCTAATAATATTCCATTTGTAGTCTAGTTTGGCTCAGTTGAACATCTTTCTAATTTAAACTATACTGCCCTGGTGTGTTTGGCAAATGTAACCCCCTGAGCTGCATCTTTATCAGTGCTATATAAATAATATTTATTATAAAATTCTTGTGAAATGGGAAGCACTTCCACATTAGGCACAAAGCAGCAGTCACCTCGTCTACTCTGGGCTTCACTGGATCAGCAATGGCTCCTACAGAGGGCAGAAGCCATGCTACACATCTCCTGTTTCCTTGCCGACCTTTCAGGGCACATTCTTGCACTGTTGCATCATCTTTCTATCGTGTTGAAAGACAAGAGTGTTTTGGAAAATGGTAATGGACAATGCAAGGGCTTGGGCTGCATTGCCCACAGCAATTTCAAGAAATTGTCTCTCTGGAATTGAAGGGACTGGTTAAGATTCTGAAGTTCCTTTAGCACATTCCAAAACCATTTGATTCAGCACTGATGAGGATCTGCACTGGAAATAGTAGAATATAGGAAGAGACATAGTGTAAAAGAAAATACTTCATCAATTATTTCTAAAAATCAGAATAAAAGCAACTAATCTTCAAACTATTTATCTTTCATCGTTATAACTGAGTATTCAAAGGGTTTCTGTCTCATTTATCTTGGCCCAGTAGAACAAGAGCCAGGCTTCCCTGAGAAGAGTTTCTTGTCATGATAGGATGACAAGGAGAGAGCTCTCTTGAGCTAAGGCAGACACGACTATATCCAAGTTCTGTAACTTAGAACCAGTATCATCTTTGAAGACGTCTTGTCTTCTCAAATTCTTAGCTTGTTAAATACTAAACACACACACACACACACACACACACACACACACACACAAAATGAGTGTGCGTTCACCTCTGAGTCAACAGCACTGTGGACCCTGAGTGTTAGTCTATGAAAAAATGGCATCCAGGCATTTAAGTTTATTTAAATAAGAAAAATCATTCCAAATGTATGACAAAACTAGAAAAGAATTTTCCCCAGATAATGAAAAAGTACTTTGCATAAGTGGTGCAGGTCAGCAAGTAACTTGAGTACAGTATTTCTGTTAATTAAACACCAGCCTCCCATACTTTCTCTTTTCCTTGTACACCTCTGGGCTCTCCTCCTTGGGAATTACTAATTTCTTATTTCCATTTGTCTGGCTTGCTTTGTGGTTTCTTTCTATCATCTTCTTTGGCACTGGGCTCCTTCACACGTAAAACGTAATTTAGTTTTTGTCTTCTTCTCTCTTCACCATTTAACAAGCAATGATAAAATTCCCTGGCCAAAGGCATTTTTTTGAGTTTGTAACAGTGACATATCTTAGAGTTTGCCCAGATGTGATGCCCTCAAGCTGCAGCAAGAGTTGGAGACAAGTACCGTGATAATAAAGGGGATGCACAGTGATTCTCCAACGTTTCCTATTTTTTCCAATTTTTCAAAGATAGAGTTAGACCTTGCTGTTTATCTCTAAATATATAATATCCATAGCGGCTTGATTGCAGAGATTGGAAGGCATATATGATACAGTGGCAACTAAGTCATTACTCAACAGATTCTCTGCTGTCTAAATATCTACCATGTATTTCCATGTATCACTCAATTATTCATATATCATCTATCTGTAATCTATTTACCATCTGTTTATTTACTACATATCTGTCACATCTAGATTTCTGTCATGTAACTATTTATCATTACCAATCCCCTGTCTATAGCATCTCTGCACCCATTACGCATCTCTCATCTGTCTTCTATCTCTCCATCATCTATCATCTATCTATCTATCCTCTGTCTATCATCTACCATATATGCACATGTGTCCACATCAAATTGTCTGCTTACTTTATTGTCAAGCTTCTTCAAAGAGCACATACTAAAATGGATTAAGCTCATATGGTTGTGTCTTCTCCATCTGGGTGCCAAGCAGGGTGCCACACTGCACAATAGTCCTTCCCCTAGGGGCATGGCAGGCCACGTTCTGACCACTTGGCAGCATGCCAGGCATTTTACCGGGGTTCCTGGATTCTTCCAAGAGCAATGTGTGTCCTCAGGAAAAGTCTGAGTTAATATGATTGTCCCGGTATTTCTAGAACAAGCCTCTATAAATGAAGCAAGGACTGGGCTGGCACTGACTTGGGCTCAAACTGTCTTCTGGGGAAAGGCAATGGGAAACACGGGGTGTCAGAAACGGAAGACAGCTCCGAGGATTTGAGTGTACCCTGTTATTCTGCAATGTCTTTTCTGTGGCTTCTCCCACAAACGGACCTCCGGCCTCTTCTTAAGCACTTCAGGTGACAAGGGTGTGATGGGCAGTTCACCCTTTCCCTCCTTAGTTTATAATCTGAGTAGCGATGTCATGAGAATAGATGAAGAATAATCGGTTTTGGGTCTTGCCATTTTGGGTCCCATGACCTTTATGTGTTTCCTTCTCTAGCAGTGCCATGTACAGTTGAAAAGTTTGCTGTAAGGCACAGATAAAAGTTAAATGGTGAAACCCTTTCCACTTCAGATGGGTGGTATTTTTTTAGACGTTCGATGTTTACACTAAATGTAACATATTAAAGCCACGTGTACTTTATTAGAGACTATCTGCTGAGTGAATGAATGAGTGAATGAATGAGTGAATGAATGAGTGAATGAATGATTCGCACCCCCCACCCACCCCTGTTGACACTCAATGGGGTGGGAAACTCTCCATAAACATAGCATTTGCACTCGGTCACAGAATCAGGGTAGGAATACAATGGCATACATTTTGTCAGTGCAAATTCAGGCCAGTGATCCCCTGTGAGCTTTTGGCAGTGGTGCCCATCCGCTTGGCATTGCTATGGATACCAGAGATTCAGAACGACAGCGTGAGTATTGTCGGCCACTGACCTCCTCCTCTAATCTCTTCCAGGAACTTCTACTACATCACAATGTTGCGGGACCCAGTGTCACGTTACCTGAGTGAATGGAAACACGTCCAGAGAGGGGCCACATGGAAAACCTCTCTCCACATGTGTGACGGAAGGAGCCCCACCCCAGATGAGCTGCCTACCTGCTACCCAGGCGATGACTGGTCTGGGGTCAGCTTGCGGGAGTTCATGGATTGCAGCTACAACTTGGCCAACAACCGACAGGTGCGCATGCTGGCTGACCTCAGCCTGGTGGGCTGCTACAACTTGACTTTCATGAACGAGAGCGAGCGCAGCGCCATTCTGCTGCAGAGCGCTAAGAACAACCTGAAGAACATGGCCTTTTTCGGGCTCACCGAGTTCCAGAGGAAGACACAGTTTCTCTTCGAGAGGACATTCAACCTGAAGTTCATTTCCCCTTTCACACAATTCAACATCACTCGGGCTTCCAACGTGGACATCAATGAGGGAGCCCGTCAGCACATCGAGGAGTTGAACTTCCTGGACGTGCAGCTCTATGAATATGCAAAAGATCTCTTCCAGCAACGCTACCACCACACCAAACAGCTGGAGCACCAGAGGGACCGCCAAAGGCGGCGTGAGGAGCGAAGGCTGCAGCGAGAACACAGAGCACATCGGTGGCCCAAAGAGGACGGGGCCACGGAGGGGACTGTCACGGAGGACTACAACAGCCAGGTGGTTAGGTGGTGACCCTCCGCCTGCTGCTTTTTCATGATGGGGAGACAGGCAGGTGCCTTGTCCTTCTGTTGGACTGCGTTGAAGAAGCTGGGTCCTGCTGAGGACCTCTGGCTGTATGTGACTTAATTCGGATGTCTGCTTCCTCTTCTTCGTCTTCATTTTTCAGTCCAACTGGAAAATTTCCATCTTGGTTTTGGTTTTTTTTGTGTTTTTTTTTTGTTTTTTCCTTTTCTAGACAATTTCTGATCACTGATATAAGTGGGGTGGAAATCATACCCAACAGACCATTTTAGAGGGTCAGAAGAGAGGCCTCAGAAAGGAGACATTGTGTAGGATGTTTGCAACGCACAATGGGTCAGTTTGGGAATCTGGAGCCCACAGAAGTACACGGGAAACCAAACATGGTGTGGGTTCTATGATGACTGCACCACATAGCATACTGTTCTGTTTAGAAAAGGAGAGAAGGGCCCTCAGCCCTTAGATGACCCTTCTCTCTCAGTGTTGAACTGGGGAAATGGCTCAAATGTGGTTTAAATCATGAATCACATTGTTTGTCCCTGCAGATGTTTTTAAACAAAATTGCTCTAAGGTTGACAGTAGCTAGAGACTCCTAGCCTGCAATCTCTGACATCAGAGCCCTAAGCCACAGGTCTTTTAGGGGACATGGAGTGAGCATGAAGAAATAAACACTGCTGGGATATTTTGGGGAGCAGACTTATTTAGTAACGACTAAGGAGATTGCCGCTTATCAGTGTTAATCCTCCAGGTAAGGAATACATTTAAAAAAAAAAAAAAAGTCAAGAGAGTGAGAGCAAAGAAACAGGAGAAAAACCTCCATTTCTAAACCAGCTTTAGAGCCTTAGTTGTCACGTTAAAAGAATGTCAGACCCTTGCCCTTGTGGAGAGGGCACCTTTTCAGCCAGATTAGAAGTTCTGCTATCACAAAAAGAAAAGATGTTTTCAAAAATCTTGAATTACAGAACAGGAGCTGAACCAATGAGGACACAATACATTCAGGAGATGCATCATAGCATCCATTTATATCAGAAGTTCAGAGGGATGCTGCACCTGGCATTTCCAGTTTCTTTAAACCTCTGTTCTTCCCACACGGTTATTACCTGTTCTGTGACTACAACCAGAAGACAAAGCTACAGTGTACAAAACTGGACCAAAAATATGCCGCATTGCCCTAGGTTCCTTGGTTTTTGACCTTTCTAAGCCACAACAAGTCACTTCTGTGGAAAGGAATGGGAAGGAGTGGAGCAGAAAGCCTTTGCCTCACACTCAGTTGGAAGATCAGAGTGGGTAGAAAGGCTTACAACACGTTGATAAGAGATCAATCCTTCCAAGCAGCCAAAGGCTTGAGACCCTGAAATCAGGCTGGAAAGCCTATTTCACTGACGTCCTGCATGCTTGATGTTTAAGCCAGCTTTACATAAGCTGCTTCTCAGCCTTCAGGCTGTCCTCTCTGGGGTTGAAAGGTCATGGTCTCCCAGTGTTTACAAAGTGTCTGGTGCAAGGGAGCCTAGCATCTTTTGTAGACTCCAGTGGAGAAATGGTTTTGACCCTTCTCTCACTGTGGTTGGTGTATAGTGCACTGTAGGAAATGACATCATTGGAGGCCTTCCTGTGTCATGCATGTTCTAAGAGAAGCCCCACGCTAGACCTTGAATACATCTGGCTTAACAGGGTGGATGTTTCCTGTTAATGTTTTATCATTATGAAGCCCCCAGATGAGATGGGGTTCCCTTGGGGATTGAAAGGTAGACCTAGCTGGCTATATTCTATTCACCCAATGCTGCCCATGTGGGGTAAACCTTCCTGCCAGGCACACGAGAAGCCAGATGTTATCACTTTGCTCCTGGCCCACAGAGGTGGCATGAAGTGATAAGGGTCCTGAGCCCTTCTCCTTGAGGGTGAGTCTCCCCTCATCACTGTCTCTCTCATGAGCTGAGAGATGGATGACTTCTTTAGCAACCATAATTTTGAGTTATACGCAGAAGTAAACTGATAGTGGACAATTGGCTATGGCTTTTTAGTTGTTAGAGATGAGGCCTCTCAAATATCCCTGTGTATCTTTATGATGATTGGCTCCAGAGGAGGGAGGGGTAAGAGGAGAAGGACAGGAATGGATGAGAAGAACACTTTCAGTTTTCAAGAACTGATGCCCTGCCAGGAACCTGAAAAGTGTGCCTCAGCCATCAGCTGTGATGTACACGTCCGTATATGCAACACACACACACACACACACACACACACACACCCCTCAGTATTTTCTCAAATGGAAAATCAAAACAGGCTACAAAGCACCACACTGATTCTTTTCAACTCACATTGTATTTTCGGTGAGGGGTCCTTGGAGGCAGCCATGCTACCTCCACATCATACTGTTCCTCTGGAAAGTCAGAGTGCGTATCAAAAGGCCTCTGCCACCTCACTGCTGAGTGTAGGATGTGTGGCCCTCCCTCCTCTTGAGAGCAGACAACAGGATGATGTGAGGAGAAATCATCTCTGTGTTGGCCTCAGGCCAGGACTAAGTGAATTGGAAAGACTAGCATGGCTTCCTCACTCGTACAGTTCCATTTGGAAGCATCTCAGTTGTCATATCCCCAGGGTCTTGCTTGATGGAAATGGAGAGGTGGGATATAGTGCATTCTCTGAAAATTGACTGCACAAGCTCCCTGCTGGGTGATGCTGAAGGAAGAGATGCCAGTGTCAGGCACAGGAAACTATGAATGGATGGGAACCCATCAGCCTTAGGGTCTCAAACCACAGCAACTCCAACTACATAGACAGAGGAGAGAGGATACCTACTTAATTCCACTTCTTGTGGACTTCGCCAACTCCCAGACAGGTGTTTTCTCCCTTCTCTAGGCGGTACCAGCACAAGACAGTGGACTGGAGTATATGTGGTGTGTGTGTGTGTGTGTGTGTGTGTGTGTGTGTGTGTATCTATATATGTCTCTGTGTATCTGTGTGTCTGTTTGTCTATACGTGTCTGTGTATGTCTATAATATGTCTGTGAATGTCTGTGTGTGTCTCTATTCACATTCTGCAGGGTGCATGTGCCTACATATGTACATATTGTGGGGTTCTATATGTGTGGTTCATCTGTCTGCCTGTCTCTCTGTGTGTTCACATTTTGTAGTGGTGTATATGTGTGTACAAGCGTGCTATGTGACACACATTCTGTTCATATTTCGGTATGGCCTAAGACAGACACATTTTTTGTCTCCTTCCAGCTTCCTGGAAGCCTAATCTTGATATTGGAGAAAACAACTGATAACCTTATCAATCAATGTAGACAACACATAAGGAAAATTATGAGTTACTGAAAAATATAAAGATGAGTTTCTATCAAAAACCTAATAAAAATTTGAACAGAAAATCTTCATTTGATCAAACCATTAACACAATGCTTTTAAAAGTCTGGATGGAGAGGGGACTAATCCTCTCTTATTGCTATTTCATTCTAAGACATAATGTCTGCCTCCTGGCCCAGGGTGCCTGCTACAGCTGCAGTGATCTTATTTTCACTTAAGGCAGTGGAGCGGGATTATAGGGAATTGCAGATACTGCTTGCAGTCGTGTCCCAATGGCTGCAATCTAGACACTGTCCACATCCATTTGCAGAGAAGACTAGAAAATATCTTTATTATTTCTAAGTGCCAGGTATCTTCATAAGTGGGGTGGAGCGCTATTGTTAAGGAATGATGTAAAGTTAATACCGATAGAAAACTATAGGTCCCAATACAAAAGGAAGGAAATGGGAAAAAGAATACCAAGTCCTTTCCAATGTCATTTATTTTCTCATCAGTTTTACAAAGGATGAGACTAAAGTTTACTCTGTCGGCATTTAATGCTTTTCAGAACATTTTGGGTGATACCTTACTTGGCCTGCCTTATATTCTTATGCACCAACCAGCATTTCTGTTCTCTTCCTACATTTGATCGTTTGGAATGAAGATTCAGAGATCCTGGAAGACCACACCCCTCCCAGTCCCCGGTTCTCATTCATTTGCAGGGAACTTGTTCAGAGCCCATGGTCTTTCAGCCTTGGAGCTTTTCCTACTCCTCACGCTGCTGCTTGGCATTAGTATTGGAACTGGGAATTACACAAATGTGAAATCTAAATCTTTATTGATTTCTGTCTTCCTTCAGCTTGTTGTGAAGCTTCAGTGACCTAGAAAATGCCATGGACAGGTCCAGTAGACTCTCAGTTCTTCTCCCATGGTGAAGGAGCCTCTTACTTGAATGAAAGGCTCAGGTAGAGAGAGGTACAAGGGAGTCCAAGGAAAGCTCATGAACTCAGGGGATACACTCAAACACCTTTATCTGGATGCGGACCCTATTCCACCCTCAAACTACCCGACATGGAGACTGGGGGGCTAGGCTTACTACTCCAGTGGGACAGGCAACATTCAAGAAAGTCAGAATCAGCAGATGCCCGTTAGAAAAGCTTAAGGGGTGATCGATAGGACCTCTGCTCATAAAATGCCTCCCTCTCTCTGCTTTTCCTCCAGGTCACTGATAGCTTATCAGCACCATGTTGCTATAGTTCTTATATATTTTATTTGGTAGTCACTGAGTTCCTTTGCCCATTGCTGGATGGTGAAATGCTTTAAGCTGTAATAAGCAAGCAACTTCACCCACTCTATCCAGTTTCTTCCCAGACATATCATCTGGCTGAGAAGAGGTTCAAAGTGGGATCACACCAACACACAATGTGGCAGCAATAGAAGAAATTAGGGGTCAGAGGGACAGACACCCCAGAGAAAGATGATGGGTAATTATGTGCAGTCAATAGTGGAATACAGAAAGATGCTGAGGACATGGCTTTTGTTCTTAGGATAAAAGGTAGCCCAGAAACACGTGACTTAACTCTTCTAGCCACTCAGAAAAGCACAAGAGGGGGTGCACCCACAAGGCAGAATCCAGTCCTCAGGTCGACTTGGGGTCTGAAGGCTGACTAGGGTGGAAGAGTTGGATTAAACAGAGAGCTGTGTTCAGCACAGGTGAGAATACTCTGATGTGATCCCAGCTGTGACTCTGGGTTTTCCTTTTCCATCATATGTGCCTCTGCTGGTCACCAGAGCCCCATCTGAAAAGCTGCAGGCTGGGTGGTGGGCTGGACGAGGCTGACAACGCTCCCCAGTCAGCTCTGTTCTGTGTGAATTCTCTGAACGAGACCTCCTGGGCAAGTAGGGGCATTCTCAGTTTTGTCACCTCTCAGATAGGATGGCCACAGACCCACCTTCACAGTCTGTTGACAGGCCTGACCTCCCCTGCAGATGTGCTGAGAATCCTGAGGACTGGCCTGTTGTAAACAGGGAAATGCTTGAAAGCCTCTCCACTTCCAGGCAAGGACTCCGGTAGCGTGATGGAACACTGGAATGATGAATGATAAATCTGCAGAAACCGACTCGTAGGTGTTTCTGGAGCCTGTCTTCTTCGATCTCCACAGGACACACTGCAACTGTCCTTCAGCAAACTGAGGGTGGCTCTCTGAGATCTATCTTCTGCTTCACTGTGGGAACTCATGAAAGGCCAGAGATCAGGGCTAAAAACCCTCAGCTCTTGTTGGGATAACAATGTCCTGACAAGCAGTTTTATGTGACGTAGCCATGGTCGCACATCTTCCATCTCTTTCTCATGCTTTGTTTGAATCATATGACCAGCATTTTTCGTCCAGGAGTACTTTCTGGATTTTGCTTGCATTCTGTTATTCTTCCTATTTTTTAATGTATCAAATTCAATGTTAGAAAAATTTAAATCTTTATCTGGTGCCCCATTCTGGATGTAAGATAGTTATTCAATAGATGCAAAATATTTCTTCTAGGAGGTGTTTCTTCTTTTGTTTCTGTGCAGTATGTATGAACTTGGTTATTAGGAGACTATTGTGGCATTACCAACCTTTATTGCTATTTAAAAATGATAGTTTGTAGAACTGAGGACCCCCATTGAAGTGAAGCACAATTTAGTGAATAAGTTAACATATTAAACTGTTGTGATGTCAAGAATAATTGTTTTTCTGGTGGTTTTTTTTTTTTTTGTCAGATATTGATACAAAATGAAAACACTTACTGAAATACTTCAAAGGATTTATGGAAATCAAATCCACTGGATCAGTTCAGTCAAACTCAGGAAATTCACGCTATGGACAAATGTAATTACTGAAGGTGAAACTGTAAAAGCCATGAAAGACAATGAATATGAGGACTGAAACCATTTAGATTCTGTGAGGTCAGGGAACTTTTCACAGGTTCTCAAACACTTCAACTTCTAAAACTACACTTCTTATATCTCTCCCTCTCCACCTAGCTTTAGTACCTTAAAGTTGAATTGGCCACAAAAGTGTGGAATACCTCCTGGTGGGAGGGAGAGATGAGGTAAAGATTAGAGAAAACGACTGTAGTGGGAAGGAAACAATTGTGGCATAAAAGGACCTGAATCCCATCAAAGAAAAAGGGAAGGAAAGAAAGAAAGGAAAAGAAAAGCAAGAGCCAGAGCAGAAGAAAAACACAAGAATAGAGAATAAAGTGGTTCTCCTCACTCTTTGAATCTGTAATGTGGCTGAGACTTAAAAGAAAATAACTAGCTGTTACAATGTAACAAGTATTGAAATTCCAGGGTAGCAAAGTTCCCTTATCTACAAACATCTAGAGTAACACAATTGTTGTTTCCCTTTTTTTTTTTTTTCAAGGAAGTGGAAACTACAGATTCCTAACTTGCTTATGGGTGAGAATTTTTTAGCCATTAGAAAATGCCTTTGACCAAATCCCCTCTAGTGGGAATCAAAAAAAGGGAAACTTGACTTTCTAACAATCCAAAAGAACCACAAAATTTGCTCCAGAAAACAGTGGTGACTAAACACACATGATCTCATGCCTTCTGGACACAGTATCATACAGTAGTTGGCATACATACACGACACAGAGATATACACAGAGATACATACATATATACTCCTCTCTCTCTCCCTCTCTCTCTCTCTCTCTCTCTCTCTCTCTCTCTCTCTCTCCCCACCCCCCCTTCACACACACACTGGGATTTTACAATCTTTTAAGAAAAACGTAATCTAAGAGAAAAATTAGTGTTTATGTCCTCCATAGATTAGTTTCCACCACAATCCCTTTATCCCAGAAGCAGTGGCTGGAGATTCTAAACAGATGGAGATTACACAGACACCTTACTCTTACTGTAGATTTTTGGTGACTTACTTCCACCTTGAACTTTTAATTGCTGTTGACTGTGATTCTTGAGACAGGATCTGGCTGTGTATCCCTAGGCTTGTTGAACTCTAGGCAATCTTCCCACCTTGACCTTTGAACTGCTGGGATTTATAGCAACACACAACAGCACCTAGTTCATTTTTTCCACTTAAATAAAGCATTAGACATATTTTTTTTGGCATTTCAAAGCTGTCAGTACCATTATTTGCGTTTGGGGCCATTATATTTCATATATTCCACTATATTCCATAGTTTTTAGTTACTCATGGTTAATGGTACTCACAAATATTAAATCATGTAGAGTGGGCCTGACGATTGAGACACCTAACATGATGTCAACCTGACTGAGCAACAATGAGAAGGGCATTCTCTGGATGTGTTTGTGAGGTGTTTTTGAAGAGGATTAACTAAAACCAGGCCCACCCTGAATGTGCACATCAGCATCTCATTGGCTTAGGTCAAGGATGAAGGCAAAGTAGAAGAGGAGAGAGGCAGCTGGGTAATGGCTTACCGTGCTGTCTCTGCATCTCAGTCCACCCGGGTGTGCACAAGTCTCTTTATACAGGTGAGAGCCACACCAGAGGCCAGGACGAAGTCACTGGCCAAAGTAAATCCTTCCTCCTTTAAGTTGCTACTTTTGTCAGGGCAATGAGAAACGGGACTAATACAGCCAAGTGACAATGGAAAGATAGTATACATGCCATGGGTACACTATTTCCCAGGCAAGATGACACAGGTGCAAGATTTCACCACACTGCTCAGAATGGCACACAGTTAGTTACATCTAATGAAGTGTTTGTTTTTGGAATTTTCCATCCAATGTTTTTCACTAAGTCAATGTGTGTTTGACTATTTCATGAAAGTATGTAATACATTCTGGATATCCTCACAACCCATGCCCCATTTGCCCCTCTCCTCCATATCAACCCTCTTCCCTCTCCCAGTAAGTCCCTTTTTCATATTCATGACTTTTTGCTTGTTTTATGACCCACTGAATTTTAGCAAGAGTCATATGTATATGTATATGTCATATACATATGTATAAGTCTTATGTATAAGCAGGGCCTTAGATTGCACATTGGTGCCTTGTGGGCCCGCTAGTGAACATGCAATGAAAGACAATGGCTGTCTTTCCCCCAGAGTCACCCAGTAGCCAGTAGTTCAGACTCATAATGCCCTCCCTGGTGCAATCTAACTGCTGAAGCCCAGTAGAAACTTCCTCAGTTCCTGTGAGATCATGACTTCTACAGCTACGCCATGACCCCAAAATAGCATTTCCCAGCCCCTTCTTTTCTTGTCTTCTAGATCGTAGCTACTTTTCAACCCCTTTTATAGAATTAGAGAGGGTGAAATAAATAGTTGTTTGGGGCTGAACACTCAATCACTTCTCAGAAACTTGAGCAGCTATGTGTTTTTACATTCACTGTTGTTCGTTACAAAGAGGCACTTCTCTGATTAAGACAGAAAATAGCATTCATCCATGGGTATAAATGTAACTATTGAGAAGGCAGTTTGGTGCTGTTTCAATTTAGCTGAACAATAGTAGTAAGTTTCCTCTAGGGCCCACTTCTCATGAATAATTTTTTGACTGGGTTTACAGTAGTAGGCATGTAGCCAGGCATGGTGGCACACGCCTTTAATCCCAGGACTTGGGAGTCAGAGGCAGGTGGATCTGTGAGTTCATGGCCAGCCTAGTCTACAAAGCAAGTTCCAGGATAGCCAGGGCTATTACACAGAGAAACTCTGTTTGGAAAACAAACAAACAACAATAACAAAAAAGCAGTAAGCATAGACTACCTTTTTGTGGAAGGGGCCACAAATTTAATCAGAGAGACTGGCCACCCCATGACCATTACCGTACCAGGATGATGCCATTGGGAAATCTTGCCTGGTAAGTTGGCCTGGTACTTTGTAGGGTTCACAGCAAGGTAGGGCTAATGATACCTTTTCTCTTCCATTAGCCTGCATCAAACCTTATGTACCATGAAAGATTCGCAGCACGGAAGTTCCCAGCTTGGTTCCCACTTGATTCCCACAGATGTAGTGTGTACTGGGGTGTAAAGGTCTAAGCAGGGATGAGGGCATGCAAGAAACAAGAGGAAGTGGATAGGAAAGCCAAACAAAGACTACACAAAGAAGCCCAACAGAAATCTAGTACTTTTTAAGTCAATTTAAAAACACAAATGTAAATGAAAAAAAAAGAAAACAACAGAAAACAAACACAAAATAGACGGGAGATAAACAGCATGACTGGATATTCCTGGCCCTGGAATCCATGATCATAAAACAAAATGCAGAGACCAGGGAACAATGCCTCCTTGTGAGGTTTTGGTCAGAGACACTCCAGAGGCTCTTCCATTCCTCATGCTTGCCCACTGGTGCTGGACTGTTTACAACTCTGAAGGCATTGGGACCTGGGAGCATGGAGCCTAAGAATGAGGTGGTCTAAAGTCTCATTCATTAGCCAAGTTTATTCAAAGGCTCAGAAAATTTATACCCTGAGGGTTAAGAAAGGTCACCTGAGTAAAGTTCTCCTGAGTTCAAGCTGCACACAATCACAAGGACAAACTGCACATGCTAAAAGCATGTTCTTCCACAGAGGCATCTAAACAAATAACAGTAGCCAGCTGTAGTCAATAATCTGAAGCAAACTCACTCCTTCTGTTACCCCTAGGAGAGGCGCAAAAGCACGTTCCAAGAGCAATTCCACTTTTTGTTTTGTTTTTAAAGAAACTGAGTTCACAAGACTCTTCTTTTCTTGGAATTTTCTCGCAAACACTCAGAATTCCACTCACACAACCCCATTCTTGGACAGTGTTCAGACTCTGGACTATATAATTATGTTACCATGGAATATAATATAGTGATAAGGGGGCTTATTGTGGTGCCAAAAATAAAGTGAAGAAATGCTGAATTTATTGAAAAATATGTCAGTATAATTATATAAAGTATAAATTATGTAGAATTGATAAAAACAAAATAATTCAATATAATTTATCTTATAAATAATGTCAATTTTGTGGTGACTTTAGAAAATTTGGAAAATACAAGGTATTTAGAAACCACAGATTGTGGAGTCTAAGATTGTTTTATCTACATCCTTCCAGATTTTTATGCAGTAGCAATTAAAGTAATTTTTTAAACAATATATGTCTTAGAAAATTGGCATCATATAATTCATGCAGTGGAAATGCATATATTAACATCTTAGCCATGATATGAAATATAATTTTAATAGATGCATGTAATTGTACCATTCTTATCTTTTAGTAACTGTCAATTCTAATTTTCCAGGAATGAAAGTGTCAGTGAAATGAACATAGCATGTCTATACTTGCAGAGCATCTATATGTTTTTTGCTGTTGTTAAGTAGTCCCGGCTGGCCTAGAACTCACTATACAGCACAAGAAGATCTCATACTCCCAATAATACTCCTGTCTCAGATGTGCAAGCATTGCAATTGCAGGCACCCATCACCATGTTGAACATACCCATATTTTATGCCTTCCACAGAAAGACAGTAGGAGGCTTTGGCAGCATGGTTTTTTGTTTTTTTGTTTTGTTTTGTTTTTTTTAAAGAAAAAAAACAACTTGTAAAGAAAACATTCAACATTGTCAAAATAAAAATATTTGTGAGGGAAAAAAAGATCCACCCTTAAATCAAAGAAAATAATATGTATCACTCTAGAGTCTTCCACCTGGCCCAGGATTGATGGAGTCATCCATTATTTGCAAGCTTGTTATTGGCTGGTGGTTCCCAGTAAGTCTCTATCAAAGCCCTGTCCTCA